TCTAGACCTCCCTTGCTGCAGTTTAAGCCCATTGCTTCTTGTTCTATCCTCAGAGGCTAAGGTGTACAAGTTTTCTCCCTCCTCCTTATGACACCCTTTTAGATACCTGAAAACTGCTATCATGTCCCCTCTCAGTCTTCTCTTTTCCAAACTAAACAAACCCAATTCTTTCAGCCTTCCTTCATAGGTCATGTTCTCAAGACCTTTAATCATTCTTAATGCTCTTCTCTGGACCCTTTCCAATTTCTCCACATCTTTCTTGAAATGCGGTGCCCAGAACTGGACACAATACTCCAGCGGAGGCCTAACCAGAGCAGAGTAGAGCGGAAGAATGACTTCTCATGTCTTGCTCACAACACACCTGTTAATACATCCCAGAATCATGTTTGCTTTTTTTGCAACAGCATCACACTGTTGACTCATATTTAGCTTGTGGTCCACTATAACCCCTAGATCCCTTTCTGCCGTACTCCTTCCTAGACAGTCTCTTCCCATTCTGTATGTGTGAAACTGATTTTTTTCTTCCTAAGTGGAGCACTTTGCATTTGTCTTTGTTAAACTTCATCCTGTTTAACTCAGACCATTTCTCCAATTTGTCCAGATCATTCACATTGGCTACTGTTCAGATTGTCACTTGGACAGGTTCTGTGCAGTTCTGTAGCAGCTGCTCATGAAACCAAATAGTAACAAAGTCCCTCTGAGGGGTAGCCGTGTTAGTCTGAATCTGTAAAAAGCAATAGAGGGTCCTGTGGCACCTTTAAGACTAACAGAAGTATTGGGAGCATAAGCTTTTGTGGGTAAGAACCTCACTTGTTGCATCTGAAGAAGTGAGGCTCTTACCCACGAAAGCTTATGCTCCCAATACTTCTGTTAGTCTTAAAGGTGCCACAGGACCCTCTGTTGCTTTTTAAAGTCCCTCTGCTCACTCTCTACCTAGACCTGCCATTGGCCAAAATCTCAGTCCCTGAAAACAGCCTGAGTAAATGAGCTAATCAGAGGAGAGTGCTGTGAGGCCCAGGGGTATAGAGTACATGGCTGCTATTGAAGCCTAAGGGCCCCAGTAGCCTCTGGCTGATGCTTCTTCCCTCAAAGTCCATGGATATGATTTGACCAGTCTCTCTGGCCCGGTTTCGCTAGTCACAGATCCATCAGCCATATCTTGCTTCCTCTTTGCCTCATCCCCACCCTATCCCCAATTCTGCTGCATTTTAGATTAGGGCACACAGAATCTTCTATGGAACGCAGGAGGAAGGGACCTTTATGCAAGCTGTCTGCAACTAAGCCCTCACTTCAGAGCAGAACCACATCAGTTCTGCTTCCAAATGGGTGCTATTAGCCTGCAATGGGGGTTACAGGATTTGCCCCAGCCCAAATAAATGCAATATCAGAACAAGATTGTATGGGTGTGTATGGATGCTGTGATAACTCTGTACTTGGTCTCCTTCAGAGACCTAATCACCTTGCAGAATGGCAAGAAATTCTTCAAGATCCTGTTGTTGCTGGTTCCAATCATTTATGGTGAGTATTCATGGAATTCAGGGGACATGTAAAGGTCTAATCTCAACTTCCAGTTTAGAAACAAAAATGCCTGCTTACTGAATTAATCTAATTGCATTGATTTAGGGATTCTTATGACTAGAGCTCACTCTACTATTTTATGTGTGTGTGTTTTTCTTCACTCTCTACCTAGATAATTCCATGGCCAAAAACACCTCCAAGCACCTCCCAGTATTTCCAAATAACAATCGCAATCACCCTTTCTTTTCCTTGCCATCCTGCTGGAGTAAATAGGTTGGTTAGTTGATAAGTTTGGGGGAGGAATGGGGATAGGTTGGGTTGTGGAAGACAGAGTAGGTGGGTAGTATGCTGAGATTTTTTTCTGTGCGAGGAACTCCTTTCTTGTGAAGAAAGCGAAGTTGAAGAGCTAAGTTCCACATTTAGTCCTGAATGTGGTGAGTGAGGACTCTGGACATTCATATCTCTTGTGGGAACAAGTGAGTTCCATAGTCTAGAACCAGCTCCTTTGAAAGTTCTGTCTTTCCTCCTCAGGAGCCTCCCATTATTGGTCAACATGACATTGCATTGTTCAGGAGGAACATTCTGGGAGGTCACACATATGAAAAGGGAGACAATCTCAGATAGCCAGGGCCAATCCCAGGGATGGCTTTGAATGTCAGGACAGAGACCTAGACCTGAACTCTTTTCAGAGGAGAGACAATTCAGAGAGAGGAGTATCGGGGAGATGTGCTCACCGTGACCAGTGTTGTCTTGCAGACTGGCTGCTGCATTCTGTACCAGTTGGAGCTGGTGGATGTGGCAGCATTCCTAGATATATTGAGTTGCAATAATCATGTCATGGGTATGTGGATCTCTGGGGCTGGGCATAAGTCTGATAGGCTGGAGCACAGTTTTTTCAGAGCTGTATGCACCCCAACTTCAGCTCTCCGTAGCTAACATGTTATCATGTGGGTTTGGAAGTAGATAACCTGGCCTTGGTGGTGATTACAAATCTTGGTGAAATAATTCTCTGTTGTATGTGTGATTTGCAGCAGGTATTTACTGTGTTGGCTCACTATCGTCCAGGAGATTAGCAGAGGGACTAGCATCACAGGTAAGTGTCTCTTGGGACAGGAAAAGAACCTCCTCTGAGCCAAAATGAGAAGCAGCTTCAGTAATTGCCTTCCTAGACAAAGTTGCAACCCACAGCATCTGTGGCAGGCTCCTGCAGTTTTTGCACTTTCATCAAACAGGCAGAATGGCCATTAACGTTAATAAGACTTTTGCCAGTACCGTATAAGGGAAAAGTCGGGGCTGCAGGATGCGACTCCCTATATGCACTGGGATTACTGGTGTCAATTCATTGGGCGTATTGTATCTAACTCCAAAGAAAGGAAGGAACGTCTACCCTGCCTACCTTGAGAAGTCTCCACTGAGGCTGTATTAGTGGTTAGTATATTTGCTTGCCTTTCTCTTACAGGAAACAACAGAGCTACACGAAACAGAGCTGAAGTCACTGTGGTAAGAGGGATTTCTTGACAATGAATTTATTCCCTACTTCAGTGGAGGTGTCACTAACTCTCTGGCTAAATGTGCACGATTATGTCTCCTAGTAGCTGGTTCACTCTGAGGATTAGAGCTGGCTTACTTAACTAATAGAGTGACTCCCTTTACTGAAGCAGTACACGGGCTCTTGCTTTTGCAGCTGGAGGTCCTGGGTTCTATCCCTTGTGATGACAATGATGTCCTCAAGAATGCAGTCTCAGGTTAAGACTCCACAGTACTCCAAGTGCACGAAGGCAGCAGAGGTTCTGCCCACATTACATCTGGTATCAATGAAAACTCATTCTCCTCAAAATGGAGGGAATGGGGCAAGTTTGTCCATCTGACCAGCGAAAAGAGAGGCACGGGTGTATTTGCAGTCTCCTGTTCTCACTGAATGCAGAATAGAACAGGAGTACTTGTGGCACCTTAGAGACTAACAAATTTATTTATTTATTTATTATGCAGAATAGTGTCTAATATCTGTATTTCCATGTTTTCAAGGCAGTCACATACTTCATTGGAAGAAAAAGTCCATGAAATAGAACATATTAAAGAGCAGATGCAGCATCTGCGTGCAGAGATCAATGGTGTGATGGAGGGCATCCTGCATTCTGTTCAAGAAATCCTGGAGGAGAGTGACATCCCAGGAGAGAACAGGGATGTAAGAGGCTGGAATTGTATAATTAGACCTTTCTGTAGCTCTTCCCATACCCTCACACTGCTTCCTGTCACACAGTTCCTAGCCAATTAGGGCCTGTTAGTCCTTGCTATGGACCTGAACATTAGGGATGGGATTTTCAAAACACTCAGCGCTGGCCTGACACTGCTTCCATTGAAGTCAGTGGGAGATTTACCATTGACTTTGCTGGGAGCAGAGTTGCGCCAGTGCGGAGCACTTTTGAAAATCTCACTCTTGGAGATTTCTCACTGCTGTGCTCTGACAGAATCTGCTAGAACTTTGGTAATTATGGCATTTCTCACCAAAATGTCTCGTAAGTGTAACACTGAACATTACCATGTGGGTGGCACTATACCAGTAACGTTGTTTAGGTTCCTACTTGTTCCTGGAAATGTATAATCTGGAATCCCAAAGTCCTTAAACAGTTGATCCCAAACTGCAGCTAGAGGTATGAGGTGTCTCTTACACTACAGGATAGCAAACTTAATTTCAGAGGCAGTGAGTGTAGTAATTAAGGCATTGAACTGAGAGTCAGGAAAGCTGGGTTGTATCCCTGTGTAGCAGAGCGTGGCAGGGCCCCCTTTGGCTCCTGCCTCTGCTAGATTCACAAAGTCACCCTGGGGTTAGTAACTACTCATGCAGTTTATTCACAGACTTGTTCCCACCACTGTTTCACCATATACAGTTGGCCCTTCATCGTCTGCAGGCAGGAGGGAAGAGCTACCTCCCTGCCTTTCCCCCTTTCTTTCTGCTCCCCCCTGGCTTCCTTCCACTGAGGCTTTTATATAGCCCCAGGCTAATTTGGGGAAGCAGAGACAACTGCCACCTATTTGGGCCAGGTTACCTCCAGCCAGCTCTAATTTATTCCCCTAAGTGGGAGCTGGCATGACAGAGGGCTGAATCAGCAACCCTTTGCCCAGCACCCTATCACACACCTCCCCCTTCTTCAACCACCTGATTTGCCTTTCTGCATCCTCTCCTTCCTCTAACATGTCAGTCCCAGGGTTTGCCGTGTGGGGTTCCTCCATCCCCTACCCACAGAAACTACATTGTGTGGGGGGTGGACAGCCCCACAGCTCCCCCACAACCCACAGGTCCTTGCACCATTCACAGCCCCCTGGGTGTTCCCCTGGTTTCCCCCCTTCCCTTCCATCAGGAGTTTGGGGTTGGTCATGGTCCTCTTCCGGACATTCAGTATTTCCTGTCCCCCAAGCTTGTCCAGTGGGGCCTGGGTCTCTTCCTTTGGGGGTCCGCTATTAAGGGCCTCCACTGTGCCTTGCTCTCCAGTCAAGGACCCTGGGTGGACGTCTCGCCCATAGCTTCCTTCTCTTTTCTTGGGCTCTGTTGTCTAGGGGTTTTCTACTCGGATCTCCCATTTTTCCTATCTTGGGCTTTCTCCCTCTGCCCATCTTCCCTCCTGGGAAGGGGTCCCAGTCCATACCCACCACCACCATGCAAGGCAGGCCCTTTACTACCCCAACCCACTGCCACTTAAACCTGCCCCAAACCTCAAGGGGCACCCGGGCCATAGGGTATTTACTCCTATCCCCATGGACGCATTCTAAGTCCATCTTCACACCGGGAATCCACCAGTGCGGCCCTACCAGCTTCCTTTGTACCAGGGAGCAGGCCAAGGCTGAATCCACCAGGCCTTGCTGGAGTTTCCTCCCCACCATTACTGGAATGGTGGATGGCTTCCGCCCCTTCCCCTGCCCTCCAGCATTTGCCCAGCCACAAAGCTCTGCCCACCCACAATCCATGTGCGGGGAGTCCCCCTTCTTGTGTCCTGGTCATCCGCACTGCCAGCAGACAACCGACCTGGATCCCATGGGAGCCACTCGGGTGTCCTCCCGTTTGTTCTCCGGGCCCTTCCCCGGTGAGGGGGTTTTCTGGGCCTTCTCCCGGTCTCCACTTCCTTGCACGGCCATCCCTCCTTCCTGGGGAAATCTGCCTCCGTGTACTCCTCCGTAACCTTTATGGCCGCCTCTACCATATTTGGTTGATGCCTCCTCACCCACACGTTTATGTTCTCAGGGAGGCCCTGTAAAAACTGCTCTAGGACGAGCATGTCCATGATCTCCCCCACTGTCTGGGTGTCTGGCCTCAGCCAGCAGGTGGCCCAGTCCATTAACTTTTGGGCGAATGCCCAGGGCCGCAACCCACCCCCCATCCACCTCGCCGACCAGAACTTCTGGCCATACTTCTCCATGGACAGCCCTGCCCAATCCAGGATGACTGCCTTTACCGCTTCATAATTCCTGGCCTGCTCTTCACTTAGGGCCATGCAGGCTGCTTGGGCTTCGCCGGCTAGGTAGGGAGCTAGTCGCAGGGCTGAGGTTGCCCTATCCCATCCAGCTCCCACAGCTACCCACTCAAATGTGCCTAGGAAGGCGTCAGGGTCATCTGTCGGGCCCATTTTACACAGTCCTAAGCCCGGCGCCCAAATGCCATCCCCTCTCATTGGACTCATCACTTTCTGCAGGAGCTGCTATTGGATGCCAGCCTGCTCCCAGAACAGCAGATGAGTCCTGCAGGCTCTTCTGCTGTTTTGCCTGCCAGGTGAGCAAGGCCTGTCTCTCCAGCTGGTGGGCTTGCTGAAAACTCTGCATTGCCTTCTGCACCTCCTCCTGCTGCTTGACCAGCCATTGCAGGCTCTCCTCCATCTCCGAACTGCCAAACACTTGCTCTGGCATGGGATCCCAGACAAACCCCCACCTGTAGCACAGCACAGCAGGGCTCCCTTGAGTCCCACCTCTGCTAGAGTCACAAAATCACTCTGAGACCCTGGGGTTAGTAACCACTCATGCAGTTTATTCACAGACTTGTTCCCACCACCATTTCACCATATACAGGTGGCTCTTCACTGTCTGCAGGCAGGAGGAAAGAGCTATTCCCCCTATTTCCCTTTCTTTCTGCCCCTGCCCCCGGCTTCTTCCTTCTGAGGCTTTCATACAGCCCCAGGCTAATTAGGCAACAGCTGTCTCTGCTTCCTCAATTAGGGCCCGATTACGTCCAGCCAGCATTAATTTATTCCCCTAAATGGAAGCTGGCGTGACAGAAGGCTGAATCAGCAACCCTTTGCCCATCACCCTGTCACACCCTGACTCCGCCATTGTCTTGCTTTGTGACCGTGGGCATGTCTCTTAAGCTTTTTATGCATTTATTGTTCCATTTGTACAACTGAGATAATACTTCCCTGTCTTTATGAAGTGCTTTGAACTCCTTGGATGGAAACACTGTATAAGTACATCTTATAATAATAAGGGCTAGTTTTTGTTTTTTAACTTAACCCTCTCTTCCCATCATGGAGACTTGATCATTTCAATTCCTTAGCCTTGACACCTATTCTCAAAGTCACTTTTAACTGAGCCACCAACTTTAGCGGAAGAGTATATAAGACTTCCCCATCAGTGCCTCTTCTTAGCTCTCTATCTGGATCATTACTGAGTGGTGAAATACTCTTTCTCGCATTCTGGGGACTGGCTGGTATTCATGGTGCTCTCACAGTCAGCTGGCCTCTCGAACAATAGAATGATGTGGAAACCAAACCCAGGTCTCTGACACAGCAGTGGAGAGCTTTACTGTGTGGCCTCCACCTCAGTAGCTGAATGAGTTTATATCCTTCCAACAGTTACTGGGAAAACTTCTTTGAGATGGAAGTTACCGTTGTGTGTTTTATTGTGATTTTTCTCATTGACACTGAGTATTTCACCTTAAGTGCCCGTGAGTGTTTATGTTGTTTGCAAATATCTTTCCCGTCATTACCTTATGTCTTCTCTTTTTTTTCAGCAAGTGCTAGAGATGATAAATGTAGCATTTAAGAAGGTTTATGAGGACCATATCCAGATGCCTGACTGGGCTCAGAAATCCATAGGTAAGGATACTAATAGCATTCTGCTCTTATATAGCACCTTTACAATGATAAGTATAGTTATTCCTCCTTAACAAACTGGGGAAACTGAGACACAGAGGTGCTAAGTTGACTTGCCTATGTTCAGACAGGAAGTCAGTGGCAGAGTCAGGGATACAACCCAAGTCAGCAGAATCCCTGTCCTCTTCCCTCACCACTAGACCATGATGTCTCTGGTAATGTTGTTATGAACTTTTAAAAAGTATCTGAGACATTCTTCTCCTCTGCACTGATTTATGCACTTCACCAAAGGTGAATGGGAGATCTTGATTTTCCTTACAATAGTGTGACATAAACCCATTCTAGATATTGATTCATCATTTATACCATGCTAATCTCCATATCAGATCATTATGGGATGTTCTCTACATCATATTGTGACATAAATCCAGCCATAAGATATTGTAGCCACTCTTTTTCTTTGACACCTAGGAACTCAGATGCCATCGTGAGGAACATAGGATGGATAGACTGATGGTCTATATGTAACATTAGAAATATTTTGTAATCCACTGCTTGTAATAGGGTCTGGCCTTTCTTAATCTATTCATATTTTAATTGCAGGTGCCACCATTGATACAGGCAGAACATCTAAGAGTTTTGAACTTGGGAGAACAGAGGGGTGTTGTTTTGGTTCATGGTTCTTTTCTTCTGCAAACCCTCCAGATACTATTTTACAGGTAGAGCACATCTGTCTACTTTGTGTATTCTCTTATACTACTTTCAAATGTCCTCATTCAAAAACTTTCTCAAGAAACCTGTTCTTCAGTAATGAACCTACAATTAGTTAGCCAACTAATTAAGGAAAGGTTGAGGGGCAGTCGGGTGTAGATAACTTGCATTTAAACCCACACCCACAAAGGGAATTAGGTGTTGCAATGCTCAGTACCATGGCACCTAACTTTTAGGTGCCTGAAAAATCACAGGAACAACACTGTGAGCCACAAAGCCTGTTTTAGGCACCCAGGCTTCCTATACAATGAATAGGAAGAGATAGGCAACTTACAATGGGATCCACAAAAGTCATCATGCTAGGCAGGGAGTCTCCTAAGCTAGCCGATGGGAGATGCTGATGAGAGAGGGGTGTCCTAAGCCCCTCCCCTCTCTTGGCGATAGGTGCCTGATTCTAATTAGTGATTCACAAGGGGAACCTCTCTCCTGGAGTTAGATGGCTTAGGTGCCCAAGTCATTTCTTGTGAGAATGAGTTAGGTGCCTACCTTGCTCCACATAAAAGGGCCAGAGGAGGAGGTTCCCACCTTATAACTTTTAGCCCCGTGGTTAGAGCACTAACCTGACATGTTGGAGACCCAGATTAAATTCTCCCCTCTGCAGGGGGAGAGAAGAAATTTGAACAGGGGTCTTCTCCCGAGAATGCTCTAACCACTGAGCTATGGTATATTCTGATGTGTGGCTTCCTCAGTCTCTCTTGTTGAAGCTGTTCTGCTGTGGATAAATGAGTCATTGACGTGGGGGACTGGACACAGGTCTCCCACCTCCCAGCTGGTGCCCTAACCACTATACTGCACTGTACTCTCTCTCTCTCTCTCTCTCTTTCTTGCTCAGGCTTTGATGTGAGATAGGTGTCTGGTGGCCTAGAGAGAGGCATCAGTGCACATATTTACAGGCAGAAACATAGTTGCCAATGGAACTTTTACCCAGAAGACTTTGGCACCGAGTCAGATTAGGCACCTACAACATTCGGCAGAAATTTTTTGGATCGCAGTGAAGCCTAAACTGGAACATAAGCACCTAAACCCAAGACATAGGTGCCTAAGTCTGGGGTTTAGGCACCTAAGTATCTTTGTGGATGAGGGCCTTTGAGCCTGATCTGAAGCCCACTGACATCAGTGGAGTTCTCGCTTCTTTATTTATACAGACTAAAAACCCCAGGGCATAAATATGTAGTTAATGCATATAAAAATCTATACATTTTAATTGTCTTTCTCTCCTCCGCCCTTCATATGTTGCTTGCCTCCTTAGGAACTGATCCAGTGCCCTCTGAAGTCACTGGAAAGATTCCCATTAACGTCTGTGGGTACTGGATTGGGACCTTAGATTGTAAGATCTTTAGGGCAAGGGCCATGTCTCCCTCAACGTTTCTTAGTGTCTTAGCACCACGAGCCCCTGATTGTCCTTGGGGTCTCTAGGCACTAATGCAATAGACATCATCAATAATAAGTAATAGTAGCGATTCCCTTTCTTCCTCCAAGAAGGGTGAAGAAATCAAGTAATTTCCTGTAAACCCAACATTATGGCATGAGTTTTTTTTATGAGGGTGAATTAGGCCCACTGGGAGCAACCTCCAATGTGTACCACTCTGACTATGTTATAGCCTTCTTCACCAGGTTCCTGGGTACACTCGGGCTAGTTACAGCACTTTAGTTCATAGAAACCATTTGCTCCCAGTAGTGGAAGAATTACTGTATCACAACAAAAATCTCTTTGATGTGGATGTTATTTCTTTGTCCCAACTTCCTGCTGGCATTTGTACTTAACACCACTGAAAGCCACGTTCTCGTCTGTTGTCTGTGATCTTTAATCTTTAGACTCATGCTTTGAATGACTGCAAACACCTCTGGCCGGATTTAAAAATCATTCTTGGGCCCCAGTTCAGATGTGTAGTAGAAAGATGGAACTTTATTGACTCTGATGGTGCTATGGCCTAAGTTCAAGTGTTGTTGGAAAGGCAATTTTCCCTATAATAAATAATAAGAAAGTCTCAGGTTTGATCTATGAGCTAAATGTCATAAAATATTAAAGCTCTCTGTTCAGGTGATAGACAGGCAAGGAAATCTACATTTTTGTAGATTTGATAGAACTGTATTAATTTACCAGCATAAAGTCAAATAACAGAAGACACCATTTTTTGTGCTTTTCACTGAATACACTTGTATGTGGGATGTGTTAATCCATCAGTGTTAATTGGAGTTGGTTTCTGCTTCCAGCCAGACGTTCACCCTGGAAACTGCTGGGCTTTCCAAGGATCTCAGGGTCAGGTAGTAATTAAGTTGCCTGAAAAAATTTACCCAACCGCTGTTACACTCCAGCACATCTCTAAGGCAATCTCTCCCTCTGGAGATGTAACTAGTGCCCCAAAGGATTTTGCTGTATGTGTGAGTATCTGCCTTTAACTTTTTAAACTGGAATTTTATGGTGGGTAAATACAAGAAAAGAGACTTGCTTTGTATGTCTGTTTATAGGATATCAGACCTGTTCTCTTTGCAACTGTGCACAAGTTTAAGGAATTTTTTCAGATGAGGTGGTAATTTTATCACTACTAACAATGTTCATTTCTATAGTACTTTTTGTCTGAGTATCTCAAAGTGGCCTTACAAATAATAACTAAGCCTCACAACATCTGTGTGCTATTGGTAAAGGATTCAGAAGGATGACATCATCCACCTCTTAAGTGGAAGCAACAGCTGTTTAATATCATCACACAGCAACCCTGTCCAATAGGTTTAGGGGAGCTCACTTGAAATTGCAATTGCAGCAGAGACTTAGGGTACATCTACACTGAAAAAAAAAGACCACAGCGAATCTCAGGGCCTGGGGTCAACTGACTTGAGCTCACCGGGCTCATGCTACGAGCATGGGTGGCGGGTATAATAAGCCAGGGGAGGCCAACCCTCCCCAAACAGGTTGTGGCGCACCTCCCTCTGGAGGCACACTGCTGGTCTGCTGCCTTTGGAGCACCGCTGCAGGAAGGGCGACCAGGCTGTGGCCCCACCCACGCTCTGCCCCAAAACCCCACTCCCGCATCCTGCTTTTCCCCTGTGGCCCTGCCCACGCTGCTCCTCTTCCTGCCCTCACTCCTCTTCTCCCCTGAAGCTGATGGGGACATGGGCGGGCGGGCCTGGGACTCCAGACGGCTGGGGCCCGGGGCGGTTGGACACAGCTGGCAGGCTGTGGTGAGCCGGTGGCCCAGGGTGGCCAGTGGGCTGGGGACTTGGGGTGGCTGGTGGCTCAGAGCCAGTGGCCCAGGATTCAGGGTGGCTCGGGCGGGGAGTCTGGGGCTCAGGGTGGCTCAGCCAGGCTGGCCAGGGCTCATCCGGCCATGGTGGGGGTCTCGGAATGTTTACATTCCAATACATCATCATTCCTTCCAGCTGTCTTCCCATTCTGATTTTAGGGACTGGATGAGGAAACTGGGAAAGAAACTCTACTGGGAACTTTTATGTATGACTCAGGAAAAGAGACCATTCAAACTTTCCAACTGAAGGTACTTTAAAGGGTGGTGAGATTGGGGCAGATGACACTGTATGCATACAGGTTTGCCTACCAGGTCTTGGAGAGGAGAGGAGATTCCAAAGTGGTTAAATTGGTGTTTTTAGAGAACAGAACTGTATTGTGTGAGGATGTGGGAAGGGAGAGATGATACCCCCAGTTCCTGTGTGAACTTGGTTTCAAGGGGGGCCCCTGGCTGAATTCTCCCCTTTTGGCAAAGTCCCGCTTCCGCAACAGTCATTCTAAGTTGCAGAAGACAGTGGCTTTGCAGGGAGCAAAATATTTGTAGGGCCAAACTCAGCAAGCAGGTGCATCTTCACCAACTTCAGAGGCGACACATCAGTGTACATCAGAGTTGAACTTAGACTCTGTTCTTCCTTACTTCTACTTTTCTCCCTGAATCAGCCATCTTTCTCTCCCCCAACCTTTTGTACCAGAAGCAATGGAGGGAAGGTGCTTAAGAAGCTAGGCAGCTGGGTTTTTGAAACACCTAGGTTTCATTAGTACCAGCCTGAACATAGCAGTGAAGTAAAGGGGCTCAGGGAAGAAAGAAAGAACACAAAGCTGGAGAGGCAATGATTTACTTCACGGTAGTTGAAATTTCCTGTTGTTCCGGGCCCGCACCGCAGCTGATTTCTGCAGAGAATTTCAGCTTTCTATAGTTGGTGCTAAAGACTTTCCAAGCTCTGGAGTTTGATTTGACATACATTGAGACAAGCTTAGACCTGGTATAAGTCAGCACAGTTCCCATTAATTTCAATGAGAATTTTGTCCTCTTACCTCAGGGCTGAATTTGGTCCAATAGTAGGGTTAATATAGAGACGGAACTGGGACTAAAGAAAACTGTTTAAAGTAACTTCTTTTTTTAATTTCAGAGTGAACTTTCCAAATCTTTTGTTTACATAAAATTCAATGTGCTGAGTAACTGGGGCAACCCAGAGTACACTTGTGTTTATCGAGTCAGGGTACATGGGAAGATGACAGACAAGGGCTGAGGCCTGTAGTAAGAAGACATGCAGTGAGAACACCATCAGAAAAGTAAAGGCATCTAAAAATGACAGATTTTGTCAACTAGTGACTCTCCTCTGTTCTGTTAAAGAAATAAACAACATTTAAATTGGATACGTGCAGAGTCATGAATATTGGCAAAATGAGTCTCAATTGCTTATATGCATTGAAAAGCTCTACATCTTGCAGGATCCTCTAGAAAAACCCAAGAGCAGAGGTGCTGGAACAATTTGTATAGTGGGGGGGCTGAGAGCCATTGAACCAAAATGTAAACCCTGTACATGATGGAAACCACTTCAAGCCAGGGCATGCAGCAGCAGCCCTATTTCCAGCACCTATGCACTAGAGCATTACTGTCCGCTCCAGGAGGGTGAATGACCAGGGTGCAGAGGCAGGAAAACCCCCCTCCAAGTCAATAACAGCCTTGCTAAGCTCATCTCCATTGAAAGTCACCCTCTGCATAGCTTATTGGTGCATCTCTGAGCAAATGATAAATGGTGGCTGAGTCTGTGGATCTTCACTCTTTTCATTCTTGGAAACATTTTTCCTACTAGACTCCCAGTTTCTCCCTTCCTTTGTGACTTAAGATTCTCAAAGCAACTATGTATAACTGTCCCCTTCTTACTCAGCAGATCTGCTCCCCATCAATAGAGATGCAGGGGGCACAAGGGAGTATCATAAGTTGTGGGGGCTGTGCCAGGACAGGCAGAAACTTGCTGTTGCCACAACACTGTGGTTCTGAACTGTTCCCTCCCCCTCCCCACCCAGCAAAGACTGCTTTGGGGTGCAGGCTCTTCCCCCATGCCAGTTGCAGCATGAGAGACAGAGATTGGGGTTGCACCAAGACTGCAGCTCCACACTCTCGCCCTGACTGCATCTGACCCAGGACTGCATCTGATTCCTGCAGCAGTGGGGATCAGAGAAGCAGTAAGACCCCTCCGAGGGGAAGCCCTGCCCCTTCCTCTGGGGAATGGAGACACAGATGGTGATGAGCTGGAGGATGGGGTTGGTGTCTCCGCTAGCCCAGATTCAACCCCTCCCCACCACTGCCTTCCTTCCAGGCTTCACAACTACTGGGCAGCAGAAGCTCCTTAGCTGCCGCATAGGGCTACATGCCAGCCCAAGGCCAGAAGTGGACAGGCAGGTGGGCAGGAAGTCTTGGTGCCAGTGGTGAGAGGGTGAGGACAGGGTGAGGGTTCTCGCTGTGTGGAGGAGAGAGGGGGTCCTAACTCCCTGCAAGAGCAGCATTCATTGGGATATTTGCATGACAGCACCAAGCAAACAGTCTCCTACAAAGGCGGCAACACTGCCTGTCACTCTGGGGTGTCCCCTCCTGCTATGGTTCCCCCTCTGTCCTTCGCCCTCACACACGTTGGGCCCCCCCCCTTCCACTTACCATGCCTGGGGCTGTCGGAGGGCAGCTGCTTCCCTGTGAATGTGGGGAGCAGTTTGTTAGTCACACTTCACACACTGGCAGCAAGGGAAGCAGACCTGGCTGCAGGGTTTACAGCTTGTACCATCAGTAATGAAGAGCAGATGCCACAAGCCTGGGCATCATTGGGTGCGTTGGGCCTTTAAGGCAGAGGGAATGTGGTAAATATGGTCATGTAGAAGGATCTGAAAGGGACGGTCCTACAGGGAAGTCATGCAACTGGACTGGGGCTATATAGGTCAAGCTGATGCCTCAGGCTAGAGGAGGCTGCTTTGTGCAGGTCAGGCCTAGCTTTGGTCTGGCTGGAGATGCAGACAGAAGTCTGAGGGCTGCCAGGAAGATGGCTGTGGTTATCCTGGAAAGGGCATAGAGGCAGAACAGAGAATCACCCAGAGCAGGGGTGATGAGAGAAGGAAGAGGCTTGGCATTGCCGACTGCACTTAATTAGGGGCCCAGGCTGCAACATGTGGTAAGGGCGAAAGTCCCCCTTCTCAGGCTCTACATCAGTGGGGTCAATGATTGCTGAGCCAGAAGAGCTGAATGGACACTGGAGTCTGAAGAGAGGCTAAAAAAGAGCTGGAGGCCATAGGGGGAAGATATTGTTTAGCCCAGGGAGGAAGCACCCTGCAACCACAGGGAGAAAGAATTGAGTTCTGCAAGGGCTGAAAGACTATGTGTTTTGGTTTCCATTGGACTTTTGTGTTAAGCCTGGAAGGGGGCGTGGACTTCTGGCTTTTGACTGGAGGGCCACAAGCACCGCAGTGGCTCAGCAGTGTGTGGAACATCATCAGGGTGGGGAAACTGAGGCACGGATACATGACCAGTGCTAAGAAAGGTAAGCCCATCTGCCTAACTCCCCGTATTCCCTCTTTACCTGGTTTCCCCTCAATAACAGTCCATCCAGAGAACACGGGCCCTCTGATGCCAGTTCCACTGATCATGGTACACTTCTCCTGGGATCTGAGTCCACTGGCTCATAAAGTGTTATTCACAATAATGATCTTCCTCCATCTTCTGCCAAAGGGACCCTAGACTTTTCCAGTTATTTTACTGATCTATTAGCCGCCTGCCGTGGATGAAAACGTTTTCATGTCTGGCCTTTATCTCTTTGCAAATTCTCTTTACTGAAGGCCACCATAGAAAGCTTGCTTTATAAAAAGAAACACATTGAATTATTAACATTTTTTGTGGAGGGGCACTGTGGCCTCATGGATAGGGTACTGGGGCTCCATGGATAGAGATTGGGGTTCACAAGACCCCTGGGTTTTATTCTTGGCTTGTCGCATGACTTTGGGAAAGTCACTCCCTCTTTCTGTGACTCAGCTTCCCCATCTGTAAATAATTATGTTTACCTCCTTTCTAAAGCACTGTGGGTATGTCTACACTGGGGGGAAAAAACTCTGCAGCAGCTAGTCTCAGAGCCAGGGGCTCATGCTATGGTGTTAAAGACAGACGTGTAGATGATCTGGAGGACTGTGATCAAGGCATTACAGCTTTTATCCATTCATATACATTACTCTTAACAGTGGCATGACAGTAACATCTGGGAGCCCTGAGACCAAGGCCCCATTGTACTAGATGCTGTATGTACAAGAAGTGAAAGACAGTCCTTGTTTCAAAAAGCTTACAGGCAAAATAGACTGAGGGTTGGATGAAGGAAACATTATCATCCCCATTTTACAGATGACAAATTAGGAACAGAGAAATTAAGTGGCTTGCCCTAAATCACACCTGGAGGCTGGGACAAAACCAGGCATCAAAGCCAGATCTCCTGAATCGCATCTACTCCCTTAACTACAAAACCATTTTAATGTAATCACAGTGCAACTCTTTTTCTTAGATGCAAAGCCCTTGGTCCCTTTATCTAATTCTGGGTCTTCATGGCATCTTTCATTTTGCTATGTTCCTCTCACTTCCTTATTCTCCTGTTTCTCCATGTGATACCAAATATACTTCTTTCCCCCTTTCCCTGCCTAACTTGTAGCTTCTGCTTCCATATCTATGGGGATATGGTATCTAATTATAATCCAGACTGTCTCCTCCACAATTATGCCATTACACACCCAATCACCTTTAAAGATTATTCTTCTAGTTCTTCCCCATAGCGTGATCCAGCCAGTACTTTTTAAGAGCTGTAATTCTGCAGCTCTTCCGAACAAGTCACTTGCACATGGCATTGCACAGACAATAGATATGATATTAAGCCATATGTTTCATGTTTATCAAGTGAACAGACACAAGGGCATCAGTGAGTAGTAACAGTCATTTAGACTCAGTGTCATTCCACTACTTTAAATTCTGTTCCAACTTTTTGGCTGTTCTGTATAATTAGAACACTAGGGACCAGATCCCCAGGTGGTGCAAATCAAGATAAATCCATTGACTTAAATGAATCTTTGCTGATTTATACCAGCTCAGGATCTGGCTCATAGTTTATGTTTGGCTAACGATTTTGTATTTAAAACAAAATACTTTGTCAACTACTGAACTGTGGAATCAGCCATCCTTTCATATTCTAATCAGTCTTATAATTAACCCGTATCCATGGGGACTGCCTCCTGTTAGTGATTTTATTTGAGGGAGATTCTTTTGTATCTGTTGAAGCAGCTGTTTGTGTGTCTGCATACCCTGCTGAATCAATTAATCATTTCATTAAAGCCGCATCTTAGCTGTGCTAATCAGGAGCAAGTTGAGCATCATTTAAAAAAAAAGATACACTTCAGAACAAATAAACCATACTATACGAAATAGGATGCCCTGTATTATTTAAAAAAATGGGACAGGAGTTCATCAGCATAATGGATGTTCCTTTAGGGTGTCGGTTGATGGCAAAACAGACATCTCTGGTGATTTTGTCTAAAGGCTCATGCTGGCTGAACACAGTTTTTATTTGCAATACAGATTTTAATGTGAGAGAGAACCAACAGTTTAGCTATAGCTATCTGTTCTTCCCTTGATGGATGTGAGACTTACCTAAGTAATTCATTAGCCCTGTTACAGTGATTGGAGAAGAAATCCAAAGGCTGCAACATAGCACCAAATCTAGGCCCACTTTGCTTTTCCCCTCTGAAAATGGATGGAGAATAATGCTGTTGTATTTTGGGAATTCCACTTAAACACGCGCACATAGGCAAGGAGCATGTATAATCCTAGCGAAGGAAGCGGGAGCAGAGGGTGTGCACTAAAATGAGAAGACTATGGCCAGGATTGGTGAAAATGGGTGCTTGAAGTTAGGCTTTGAATTCCATATTTAGGTTGTGATGCTGGTAAACCAAGTGCCAGCTCTGGCCAAGGCTGTAGGTGTTAGCTAAGAACTGATAAATTCATAGCTGGAAACCAAACTAGCTCACCTGTGGTACAATCCCTACCAACTGGAATAATGAAGCAATGGTTAATACATTGCTTCCCATGGAAAACATGTATTTAATTTCTGTAACGTGGAGAAAAGGAGCTTGATTAAATACATCCACTGAGTTTTACTGCTTTTGTGCCACAATCTCAGGGGTAAACTTTCAGTGCAGTTCACAGGGATTTAGCTGCCCAATCCGCATTTCC